CCTATCTTGGTCTCTAATTCACTGTGTAGGTTGGTACGTTGTTCTGGGACACCTTGTATATGGTTTGACTCTCAAAAGTCTTGATATGACCACTTACTCGAAATCATCTCCACAGGACTGTTTAATGTAAAAATCACATCAATAGGTATAAATGTTTCGGACATGTAAACTGTCCATCATCAGTCAAATATCAAGAATGAAGGTGACATGAGAATAAGAAGAAACTTTTTAGTGGAAATTAAAATTGATAATAAATAATTTTGTCACTGGCTTACTGAAGATAACGACAATTTTTGCATATTTTTTCTCCTTTGATCGTTATATACAGATGATGGGTTTTCATCTAGAACGACAATGCTTATGTATTTCATATATAAATATCTATTTCAATACCTCATCAAATTTCCACCTTCTCATTGAATAACAGCCTTTTACAAGAATTTTTACAAATTAAAACGTTGTAGTCGAAGAAAATAGATGTGTAATCCCTTCTCACGCCTCAGAATTGTACAGGGTGGTAACGATATATTTTATCAATTCGGAATTTTTAGAATTGAATATTATCGTTTTTTTCAAATGATGTATAATAATGAAATACGAACACTTTCATGCACTACCCATGAAACTTTGAGTTTCGTGAATTTCTCGGTGGAGTCAAGAAAACTCGAAATCATAATTATATTTCTTAACTTCATATTCGAAATAACTACCTACCTATATAGGTACTAATCAACCACTAAGTTCGCAATTTTTTAATCAAACAAAATTAAATCGATAATTTTCTGACTTTACCTACTATATTGTTATATTTTCGCACACACAAATAGTATATTATGGGAGTATTTTTCTATATAATTGTAGGAAAAAAAGTATTAAATTTTAGTTCGCGGTTGTTTGTGTCCCAGCGCGAACCGCACAATAACTATTGTTGATAATATTTTGAGCAAAAAAAAGTAACGAATCGATGGACTTTGTTATGTCAATTGAAATCATTTACCTTTCGTATATTCTGAACAATTCCTCGATATTTACGTGCTGGAGCCCGCGGACTTAATGAGATTCAACAAGATTGATTTTTAAGTTGATTGACGTTCCGTTAATATTCCTATACCTAATTTTTAATTAAAATCGGTCCGATATATCCGCTAACTTTGATGAGAATTTGATTGGACGGCTTAATCCAATCCGAATCCCAAATCGAATGGAATGTTCAACTACCCGCAAAAAATAGGCATCATTTCAAGGTTATCGTTCTATTAACAAACTATACCGTACATGCCTGCAAAAATCACAAAAATAGTTTTTTTCTGCAACCGACACAAAAGTCGTCCATGACTGATGATCCCAAAATTAGCTCTTAAATTGACGTTTCTATTACTGACACAAAAATAGGTATGTTGCTAGGCAACTCATTAAAATTTAGTTCCTAGGAGCTAAAGTTATATTTTAGTTCCTAGGAGCTAAAGTTCAACTTTAGCTCCTAGGAACTAAAAAGGATGTGTATTGTTTAGCTTCATTTGATTATCAAGTCAAACACAGTGTAGTATGGAGAGGAATAAATAATCACTATTATCATTGTTGATATGCTCACTAACCTAACATTTTCAACGTCTCGCAAATTTTGCTTTCGCTCGGCTTCGCTAAACGCTCCGCCTCGCAAATGCAACAAAGTTTCACTTTTGATCCTAATAAAACAATCTACTATTTTTCTCCAAGCGGCAGGGATAATGGCTTTTGCCTGCCGCTTAATAGGCAGAAAAGGTGTACTTTTACTGCCTCGGCAGAAAAAGTTTGTTGCTATACAACGTTCCAAGAAATTCTAATGAAATTAGTAATCAAAATTGACACTGACATTGGGTGAACACAACATGATGAAGTTTTCAATAAAAAAATTACACAATATTGGTTCTATATCACTTTGGAGAAAAAAATCTGTTTCACACAGCAGCAAATGTAGATTGAGTCAATCAACTACTTTTCTGCCTAGTTAAACAAATAACTACCTATTTATCCTATACATTATAGAACATTTCTTTCGATGGTGCTTTCAGTTGGTCCAAATATGGGCTCATACCTATACATCTTGGTATTTGTTTTATACTGGGTGTTTAATAATTCATTATCAAGTTTCCAGGATGTTATTTTTCAGATCGAAATAAGCCTAAGAATATTGTATTGCTCTGTTTGGTTCTGTGAATGACAGTAACCACATTCATTTTGAACATCTCAACGATCTACCACAGATTAAAGGTTTGTTAATCTGTGGATCTACACTAATTCGTCGCCTAGGCTGGTTGCCAAATCATCTGTGTGAGCACTAACCATTATTGAGGATTTTTCCAAAATCTCTTTCGCTGTCGAAATACTCGAAAAACACTAGTAATTTTATGAAATGCTTTCAAACGTTTAGTTGAACGTGTAATAAAAATAAATACCTGAACTTCAAAACGTTGTCCATCAGGTGTTTGATTTTCAACAAAGTCGTCGAATGTAGTATAGAGCCGCTGAAATGGTCGTACTTTGTATATCGCTTGATTCGTCCCTATGTTCATTGCTGATAGTATTCTTCACTGTCGCACAGATCTGATGCATTTTTTTTAACAGTAAGACAGGCCGGACAGGCGTTGGAGCGCTAGGCGGCGCGGGGCCACCCAATTGAAACTCTTGCTACGTGGCTAATCCGGCACTGTGTGTGGGTGGAGATAATATGAAATAATCACTTATTTCCACCAAATAATTGATAGGATTATTAAATATCAATAAAAAACTTACTTGGATCCTAATGCGTTGAAAGTTTAACGAAAAACTACATCACTCACCATTTTCACCGAACCATAGTTGGGCTAGTAGGATTGAAAGTATTGAAACTTCAGGTTTGTCGTCTTACACGCGTCTTATGAATATGTGGGTGAAGGGAGAAAGCCAAGATGCCACTAATGCCCTGCTAAATCTCGTATGCGGACTATCCTTAGAATTCTCCCCCCGAATTCCCTAAAACGGCTTTCTCTTATCGGATCGACAGCATATACGCATAATAATATATTATAGGGTCGTGTACTTCCTCACACAAAATACCCGAAGATGAACTTCATGCATAATATTAGCACAGCTTCAGCAACCTTATTTTTGCAGTGTTTTTTTCGGTTTTTTTATTATTCCATACAATTCATAATACACTCCGTAAAGTCGGTATACGTAAACATTTGTAGCCAAACTATATCCTATGCCGCGTCTGAACTGCTATATTGAAATAGTAGATTGTTTTATTAGGATCTGAAGTGACACTTTGTGTGACAAGCGAATTTTGCATTTGCGAGGTCTAAAGTTCCTTATATGTTATATCGCGTACCCTAGGAACACTAGACCAGTGAATTATGCTTATTCACTGCTGTTATTCACTGGTGTGGAAAGAAAATGGCTTTATACAACAGTCGTGGATGAATAAATATTTTCCCGCAGGGGCCCTGGCATTATACGCGTCATTATTTTCCCTTATCATTTGGTTGTATCAATAAAATAATGATGAAAACAAATATTTCCTTTGAGCACTAGGTATTTATTTTATATAGCAGCAGTGGCAACATTGCTATTTCCTAAATGATGAGAGATAGAAAATTGCTCAACTCAGACAAAACACAACAACAAAATCTGCCGTTTCGTTTTCATCAAATATCAACAGAATAAAAACAAAATCAATGACTTTCAGTTTTTTTTTTTTTTCATATTTCAGGAACGGCAATTTGTTTCAGTTTGCAAAACTCCCTTTATGCGGGACCCTGGAGAAGGAATAATGATGGACGTGTTTTCTGATGCAAAAATACTGCTTTGAACATCTTTTTAACACTAACATAAGTGACGAGTTGTCCCGAAACAGAGCGTTCATTTTAAGAATGGGCTTATATCACAAAAAAAATTTATTTCATAATTCGATAGAACTCACCCAAACTAGCTCACCACCGCAAACCGTTTCTTGCTGTGAGCTCCCTACGTTTTATAAAAATTATTGAAATCCCCGATTTTTCGGACTGAAAACGAGACGATGATGTGACATCAAAACCCTAATACTGAAACAAGACTATTCCAGACGGAGATGAATGATACATGATTTCTGACATAGTGAACCAGCGCGAAATCACAGTTGAAAGAATTAATATATCAGTTGCCTCAGTCTCCGTCGGGCGTTTGGTATTTTCTTTTAACTGTGGCGAGATGAGGTCTACGTCAAAAGGAGGGTCCGTTTTCAGAAGGTACTATTATTTATGTCCAAAAATAAAACATTCAAGTTAAATTCTCGATCGAATTATGTCGTCAATCATTATTTATGTATAAAAGGATCATTATAAACATGGTTTGAGTTGAAAGTTCTACTAAGGTGTACACGCCCATTATCAATACCTAATTAAAATCAAATATAGAACTGTGTGCCTAATGCCGCAAAGGAAAGATTACAAACTTTGGGAATGTTTCCATCGAAACGTCAAAAAATGACAAGATCCGTCCATTGATAACAAATTGCGCGAAGTGATACTTTTTTTCAGTTTCCTACGTCACCACAACGCCATGTGCGAAGCAGTGCGCGAAGTATACATACTTACTTCGCGCATTGTATATGTGAACAATATGAGATTTTTATATTCTAACTTTCTACTTTCTAACTTAAACATCCAAGAAATCATTCATTTCTGAATGTTATTTTTCATACTAAGCTAAGTATATAACCACTTTAGAACTATATCTTATGATGTTTGTAGATGAATAAAAGAGTACGAATGAATTCAAAATAGCAAAAATCGAGGAAAAAGTAGTTAAGACATATTGTCGCAGCAACGCGTGCGAGAAAAAAATGTCTCATAAATAATAATACACTATTGTTGAAACGAACATTTTCGGCATCGTGCCGCGGCTTTCCTGATATCTGAACAACAAAATTTGTTTTTACACTTACATAATGTACCTATGTAAATGTATGTATAAAATCCTGTATGCCCGTTTCGTTCCAGGACCGTCTCACCGCAGCCACCAGCCACGCCGCCCTCTCTTTGGGCGGCGGCTCCCCCGGAGGCGGCGGCTATCCCTCCGGGGGCGGCGGCCTGCCCTCCTCCGCCCACCACCACCGCTCCGGGCTGCACCATCACGCCGCCATGCAACACCAGCTGCCGCACCAGGTGAACATTTTTTATTTACAACCATATATGTAATGTTGTCATTACTAACGTCCTTGAAGGTTGGGAAGTGTCACATTACACACCTCTACTTCCCTCCCTTACTACTTGCCCCTCACTACTTCCCGCCCCTCACTATTTCCCGCCCTCATTCATGTAATAATTCAGGTATGTTCAGAACAAAACCTAGATGACATATGATTTCCTGTCGTGAGATTAGTTCACTACAGTATAGTGTATTATCGTGCCAAAGATTCCAGTCTTCGATATAATAATATTAACGATTTTGCTATAATCATGTATAGTGAAAAGCTTTTTATTTTTTTAAGCGAAAACCGTGCATCAGATTGAAAAAATTGTAAGGATCAAATTTGCCTAGAAATGATTGGGAATTTCAGGAATGATTTCAATTTCGAGATTAATCAGTGGCGTGCCATCAATGTCTACCAAAATAAGTATGTGAAATTCCATACGAACGCCACTGGTGGCAACCAAAAAAAATATGGAACACTAACTGATGCCTCTTGATACATAGTACATGTATGCCAAATTTCATTAGAAAATCTGAAGTGGTATTACAGATATTAATAAAAAAACTATTCATTTTTGAGAACTTTAACCACCCGGTATCTCGAAAGTTAGGACGTTTAGGTCATACGTTCATGTGAAACTTTCTTCTTAGAATGGGCCAAAGAATCGCCTCCCCAAATATTGACATTCAATTATCAATTATGAAATACCCTGTATAGTATTGTTTCACATTACATATTGGTAGTTATACATACTATGATTTTTCTACGAACTCCGAAAATTACATTAACATACCTGCAATTCCTGCTAACCTACAAAATAATTCGAAAGGAATGGGAATTGAGAACGTGATACATGCAACTGCATGCAACCAGCAAGACACCTATAAGACTAACCTTTGTTTCACGTTTATTGTCATGCTTAGCGCAGAAATAAATAAATTGTTCTCAAAGATGGATGCTTCATTTTTACACTTCTTGGAGATATGCAAGTACCTGAACCTTCGATTTCACTCTCGTCTACTTTTCGCATATATTTTTAATGAAGAATTCCGATACAAACGAATATTGTTTGCCTAATTCTGATTCAAAATTCGAAAATAACAGTTGACAGTTAAAACACTTGACAGGCCAGACATATGTCTCAAATTACTGAAGCTGTGTTTAATGAACTGCGTTGCCATGGTAATGTGTTTAAGAAATCGTGTTGCAATGGTAACGTGTTTATAATATTTTGAATAAATCACAGAGATCGACAATCCGTGATTAATCGATCATTTAGCGTGGTACATATCCGTACGCTAAATGCCATTTTAGTTATGTGAGTAGAAAAAAGTATATTACACACCGGGGTGAGAAGTGACGCTTTGCGTCTCGGTTAACTAACTAATCTCACATATTATGACAATATCACCATGCAGGGAAATAAATTTTATTTTTTAGATCAAATTTCAGAAATACAATTCATAGTTTATAAACTTCGTATTCGTATTTGGTATTTTGGAATTATAACTTCTCATTGTAGTAGGCTATATTAATTTTTAAGAACTTTACCACCCTGTATCTCAAAAGTTAGGACGTTTAGGTCATACCTTCATATGAAAGAACGGGCCCAAGAATCGCCTCCTCGAATATTGACTTTCAATTATGAAACACCCTGTATACAGGGTGTCCCTCCGGGAACTGCATCGATCAATATATAGAAAATCATAAGTGGTTCGAATGTGAAAATTTGGTAGTTCACTATTGTTGATAAGTGCTATACGGCAAAGATATTTTGAAGATTGTGGCACTTCCGGTTGTACCGGAAGTGGACCCCAACTTCGTTATTTCAAATGGAACACCCTGTATTTCATTGCATTTTTAGATTCTTACTGAAGAGCTGATTTCATCATTGCATCACACTTGGGGTCTATCAGGAATGATTACAGAGATATAGGGTGTTCATAATCGAGATTTTTCAATTTTCAGACTTTTTTGTGTTGAAATGATTACAGATACAGGGTGTATCGAAGACTGGAACCTTTGGCACGATAATACACTACACTGTTTTACCACTAACCAAAACGATTTTTTAACGCCTCGACACGTGTTTCGCTAACTATGTTAGCATCTTCAGGAGAAGATTAAAACTAAATATCCTATTCTAGTGTGCTGCTTATAAACTAGGTATATGTTCACCCAACTGTGAAAAATACTAACCGACAAGTTAATGTTTGTCATGGTTGAGTTCTTCATTTTTATTTCACTAAACTATATAGAGGGCTATATGGAATAGGTCCATTATCCTTATTCATTACTCTATTACTATTCTTAAATATCTCTAAGCTTTCATATGCGTCTAGTTTTCTAATGTTATTAACTTGTTTAACTAATTTGAGGTTTAGTAATATGTGTGTAATGATTGTGATTGAACATAATATGTTCGGCTACACAAGATTTATCTAACCTGCCATATTTTAAATGGGCTATGTGTTCATTGAACCTTGTTTTTAATGGTCGCCTGGTTTGGCCTATATGTTTTATCACAATCACTACAACTTATTTCGTATATTCCCGATTTTTCGAGTGTGTCCACATTATCTTTCGGATTGCCTAATAAATTGCCTAATTTTGACCCAGACTGATAAACGCTTTCAAAACCTAAGTCTTTGAAAACCTTATCAAGTCCCTTTGTATACTTGGGATTGAACGGGATTGGGATTCTTCTAGAGTTCTTTTTATCCACTTGAAAAGTCGTAGACTATTGAAGTGTTAACTTAAATTTATGTCTACGTATTAATTTATCTACTATTTTGATATCATACCCATTGACGCCAGCCACTTTATAAACAACACTTCTTTCAGCATTGAATCTTTCTTTGCTCAGAGTAAATGAAATCAATCTGTGTACTAGAAAATTTAAACTTGCCATTTTGTGCTGAAAACAGTGATTGGAGTCATTAGGTATGTATCGAAATGTGTTAGTTTCTTTTCCAAAGACATCAAATTCTAAGTTGTTTTCGCTATTTTTGATCACAAGTATACATCATGACAAACATTAACTTGACGGTTAGTATTTTTCACAGTTGGGTGAACATATACCTAGTATATAAGCAGCACACTAGAATAGGATATTTAGTTTTAATCTTCTCCTGAAGATGCTAACATAGTTACCGAAACACGTGGCGAGGCGTTAAGAAATCGTTTTGATTAGTGGTAAAACAGTGTAGTGTAGATACAGGGTGATCAGAATTCTGAATCAAACACGTGTCGAGATGTAAAAAAATCGGTTTAGTCAGTGGTTTAACTGAAAACAGTTTCAATTTGCCCCTTGAGATGCTAACATAGTCAGCAAAACACGTGTCGAGACGTTAAAAAATCGGTTTGGTAAGTGGTTAAACTGAAACCGTTTTAATCTCCTCCTGAAGATGCTATTATAGTTGGCGAAACACGTGTCGAGGCGTTAAAATATCGGTTTGGTTAGTGATTAAACAGTGTTGATTGATCTATAGTTATCTTATAATATAATAGGAGGACGTATTTTTCAACATTTCGTTACGTATTTTGCAGGCGGCGGCCGATTTCCAGCCGCCCTACTTCCCGCCCCCCTTCCACCACGCCCCGCCGTCGCCGCCCCCGCCGCCCCAGCAGCACCTCGACTACCTCGCGGACCCGTACGGAGGCCTGGGGGCGGGGCTGCACCACTACAACCAGCTGGGGTTGAGGACGAGGGACTCCGATGGGAGTCATACGCACGTGGTGAGTCACGATAAATTATTTATTAGTAATGAGAAAAAGTAATAACTATTATAATTTTGATATAAAAGTGAGAACTATTCTATAATTCGGACATAAAAGTCAGAATTATTCTATAATTCGGACATAAATGTGAGAATTATTCTATATTTCGGAGATAAAAGTCAGAACCATTCCATTATTCGGACATGAAAGTCAGAGTTATTCTATAATTCGGACATAAAAGTCAGAATTATTCCATAATTATCATAATTCGGACATAAAACTCAGAATTATTCTATAATTCGGACATAAATGTGAGAATTATTCTATATTTCGGAGATAAAAGTCAGAACCATTCCATTATTCGGACATAAAAGTCAGAGTCATTCTATAATTCGGACATAAAAATCAGAATTATTCCATAATTATCATAATTCGGACGTAAAAGTCAGAATTATTCTATAATTCGGACATAAACGTGAGAATTATCCTATAGTTCGGAGATAAAAGTCAGAACCATTCCATAATTCGAACATAAAAGTCAGAGTTATTCCATTATTATCATAATTCGGACTTGATAGTCAGAATTATTCTGTAATTCGGACATAAACGTAAGAATTATTCTATATTTCGGAGATAAAAGTCAGAACCATTCCATTATTCGGACATGAAAGTCAGAGTTATTCTATAATTCTGACATAAAAGTCAGAATTATTCCACAATTATCATAATTCGGACATAAAACTCAGAATTATTCTATAATTCGGACATAAATGTGAGAATTATTCTATATTTCGGAGATAATAAAAGTAAGAACCATTCCATTATTCGGACATGAAAGTCAGAGTTATTCTATAATTCGGACATAAAAGTCAGAATTATTCCATAATTATCATAATTCGGACATCAAACTCAGAATTATTCTATATTCCAGAGATAAAAGTCAGAACCATTCCATTATTCGGACATAAAAGTTAGAGTTATTCTATAATTCGGACATAAAAGTCAGAATTATTCTATAATTCGGACATAAAAGTGAGAATTATTCTATAGTTCGGAGATAAAAGTCAGAACCATTCCATAATTCGAACATAAAAGTCAGAGTTATTCCATAATTATCATAATTGGGACTTGAAAGTCAGAATTATTCTCTATGATACGGAGATGAATGTCAAAATTATTATAATTCGATAAAAGTCAGAATTATTATTCAAATTCGGACATAAAAGTCAGAATTATATCATAATTTGGAGATAAAAGTAGTAATTATCATAATTTGGAAATGAAAGTCAGAATTATTTTATAATTCTTTTATTTTGGGTTTTTGTTTTAACTCTGCGACTTTATCATCACAAAACATGATGACGGGAACGTGCACTATACTGATTTATTGATTCCATACTAACAAAAAGAATGTCTGGAAATTAACGTTCCTTCAATATTTCAAATATATTGAATTGATAATTATTATCGAAAAAAGATCAAGAACAATTTCTTGGAACCTCCGCTTTCCATTATAATGACATTGACAAATACAACAAAAAATGACACTCAATTTCAATTTGACAGTAATTGCTGCCAACAAATTGCACAAAATGTCCTTTCCAACCCTTTCCAAAATAATGAAATAGTTATGGTCAATTCAGAACCTAATTTTTCAAATGAGAATTTCAATCATATTTATAAAATTAAATGAATAATCCATCGATCTATATATCTGTACAAATAACATAGGCATGAGAGCATTGTGGCTATACCTCAGTTTATAATATTTTCTTAGAGCCTATACTCTCTGCACCCTTGTAAATTGGGAAGGAGAGGGTCTAGGATAACGGTGAATATTTGACATGCTCAAGGAAATATGTGACATGCCGAGTGTGCTAACTATGTCAAGATCATCAAGAGACTGCAAGTATTCCGGGCATCTCCCTTCATCTTCATCCCTTGTACAGTATAGTTGTCCGAATTTAGATTAGAATTTCCATATGCACATCGTTATTAGTTTATGGAATAGTTCGGGAAGCCGCCTTTCGCACACGCACCACAAAGAGTACAGGGTGTTTTATTTTTGCACTATTTAGCGATTCTTCCATTGACAATTTTTATGAATGAACAAAATATATTGTGTACTTTTTTGCTCAAAAAAGGTGTCGGAATGAAGTTCTTTTTTTTTGCAAATAAAACACAAGCATGCCTTTTCTCTATAGAAAAGTCGATCTCACTGTGCCCAACATAAGCTTGTCAGGAGTAACCATAGGTACCATTAAAGACATCCATTTCGAGGCTTGGTATTACTATCAGCAATAAACTTTTCTTGGGAAAATCACGTGAGATCAAGTGCTAAAAGTGCATCACAAAAACTTGGTTTTCTGTTTCGGACCAGGAGCTATTTCACTTCCAGTCAGCTGCTTATGATCTATAAAGCACAGATCCGACCTATCCTAGAATACTGTTCCCATATTTGGAGTGCAGCACCCACACATTCCCTGAAACTGTTGGATTCTGTCCAAAAAAGAGCAATTCGTCTCGTGGGTGATGCCTCGCTCACAAACTCACTCACTTCTCTGGAACACCGTAGAAAAGTTTGCGATCTGGCTCTATTTTATAGATATTTTCATGGACGATGCTCTTCTGAAATATCAACAATTGTTCCTCCCTTGGCAGTCCCCGCGAGATTAACCCTTCGAGTTGAGGCTTCGCACCCCTTCGTGGTAACTTTGGAGACCTGCAGAACATCTCTTTCCAAAGACTCGTTCATCCAACGAACAGCGAGGCTCTGGAACACATTGCCAAGGGAGGTGTTCCCCGATCGAAGCATATAACCTCCAGAAATTCCACCAATTCCTACCTTATTTCCCTTGGTTCTCACGATGTTCTCTGAACATTACAGGATATCCCTTTTCGTGGGAACCAGAACATAAAAGAAATAACAAGTGCCAAAAGTGTATTGTCAAAAAAGTTGGGGCAATTTTAAATAAATAGTGAAGTCGTGAACAGCGCCCTCTAAGCGCTACATAAAAAAAATTGCAGCAAAAGACGTTTGACAAAGAATCGAAAATAAAAAACAATTTCAACACCCTATATATATCGCCGATAAGAAATTCCGGAAAGTTTATTTAGAGTTCTTATCTAAACATTTTCTCAGGAATACGTCATTTAAATACTTCCATACTTATGTTACATCCTGTATAGTATTCAACAAGACATCGATTTCAAATTTGGTGCAGTGCTTCAACATAACAAGTCACAATCTAGTATACGTGAAATAAAGCGATTGGCAAATTATTCCAAAAATTACCTACCGTTTTTTTCGTTATGTTAAATCAAAACTCTTTCCAGAGCCAACTCGGCCACGGCACGAGTTTCCCGTACAGCGCGGGCCCGGGCGGGGGGCGGCCCGACTACGGGGGCGGCTCCCAGGGGCGGCACGTCGACGACCCGCTCTCGTTGCACCAGGCGCTCGGCCAGGCCGTCGAAGAGGCGCAGGGCGGCATCGACGACAACACCGGCTTCATCACCGACCTACCTCTGCTCAAAAGTAAACGAAATACTAGAAAACAACGATTTTTTGAGATCAAACCTACATTTTTTAAGATCAAACCAGAATTTTCAAGATCAAACCTTTTTTTTTAAGATTAAACATAGTTTTGTCAAGATCAAACCCAGATTTTTTGGAAACAAACCTAGAGTTTCTAAGATCAAACTTAGTTGTTGTTTTTTTTTTAAGATCAAACCCAGATTTTTTAAGCTAAAAGCTAGGATTTTTAAGATCAAACCTACAATTTCAAAGAACAAATCTAAATTTGATGAGATCGAACGTAGATTTTTGACGATAAAACCTAGATTTTTAAGATCAAACCTAGATTTTTTAAAGATCTAACCTAGATTTTCAAGATCAAACGTAGTTTCATTTTAAAATCAAACCCAGATTTTCTCAAGATCAAATTTAAAAATTTTAAGATCAAACCTACAATTTCAGAGATCAAACCTAAAAAAAATTATTTCAAACCGATATTTTTTGAGATTGAACCAATTTACCTTCAGAGAGTTTGATCTCAAACATGGGAAGCGTTTCATTTCGTGATGAATGATCACTTACTCATCTTAGTGCTGATACCTCTCATTAGTATATTCGGTTATTCAATACGCCATACCTGTGTGGACACCATATCATCAAACTCACATCAGTCAAATAGGAGTGCATAGAAAATTTTCATATGTAAAAAGGAGAGAACCCGCGTAAAATAGCGAAATACTCGAAAACAACGGTTTTTTTTAAATCAAACCTGATTTTTTAAGATTAAACCTAAATTTTTCAAGATCATACCTAGATTTTTTAAGATCAAACCTAGATTTTTTAAGATCAAACCTAGATTTTTTAAGATCGAACCTAGGTTTTTTAAGATCCAACCTAGTTTTTTAAAAGATCGAACCCAGATTTTTTTAAGATCAAACCTAGAATTTTTAAGATCAAACCTACAATTTTAAGTTATGCAAGATTTTTATATTATACCACCTTGGAAATTAGTAGAACAAGATCTGACTTGATTATTCTCTATAAGATACTACCAGGGGAGTTGGATTGTCTTGTATTGCACCATTTGATTTATTTTAAAGTTCTAAATAGATCTACTCGTATAACTCTGAATTTTTCCAAGTTTTCTAGCATCGCACAAATTATAGCCCGTGTAAAATAAAATAGAATAAAAGGATTAGTTTGAACATAACGATTAATAAACGTCGTTGCTTCTTCCTCAGGCATGAAAGGCGGCAAAGACCACGGCGGCGGCTCCATGGTCTCCCCCAGCGACGTGTTCTGCTCGGTGCCCGGCCGCCTCTCCCTCCTCTCCTCCACCTCCAAGTACAAGGTGACGGTGGGGGAGGTGCAGCGTCGCCTCTCGCCGCCCGAGTGCCTCAACGCCTCCCTTCTGGGCGGCGTGCTGAGGAGGGCGAAAAGCAAGAACGGCGGCAGGATACTCAGGGAAAAGTTGGAGAAGATCGGCCTGAATTTGCCTGCGGGCAGGAGGAAAGCTGCCAATGTTACGTTGCTGACTTCTCTTGTCGAAGGTGAATTTCAAGTTTTTTTTTCTCATTTTATGACTCTAAAGACTGAATTTCTGACTGACTGAGTCGAAATTCCTGGTTTCCCTACTGCAACTCCAGGTTGGCATCAAATCCGCAAAGAATCTTACTCCAAACATCAACGTTTCTCTACCTATTCCTATATAGAAACTAACTTCTTGACCCAATAACGCCCAGCGTCCTCGTTTGAGGACAGTGTATTTAGGCGGGTATTAAAAATAAGCGAACCAATCATTTCTTTGCAAATGCAGCAGATGGTATTATAGGACCTGCATTTGGCGAGAATGTGCATCATTGCTTGTAAATCATTTACTTTGAAAGCTTGGTTTTATGTGGAAAAGTGAAGGTTTGTTATTTATAATAGTTTTCCACTCATTCATTCAACAAACACTGGCTTTGAATCCTGACGTTGATACTCCGATCAGACACCATATCTGAATGTGAAATAAATTAGAGTTTCAGATTATTCTTTCTTTTGATTTTCAAATCAGCCTGTCCCACCGTCCTCTAATGAGGACGGCATTTTTTCTAATACTATAAGTGCAGCAAACATTCTGATGCTTCTGATTGGTTTCTCACATCAAAAGAAGAAGTGCAAATTCGAACAAAATAATCATTTTGGCGTTAATGAATCAATTTGAAAAAAATGTACGTTGAAAAAACAATTCTTGTCAGCGGCACCTTCTTTAATTTCTAAGTAAACTCCATCCATCCCATAAAAACATGAATACGTCACTGCAGAACAAGAGTATACCGTCCCCATTCACTGTCCCCTCTTTGCACTATACTTCGTATTCTACTAGGCACCCGATTTCTTGGCAGTCCCCGCGAGATTTACCTGTCGAGTTGAGGCTTCGCCCCTGTTCGTGGTCACTTTGGAGACCTACAGAACATCTCTTTCCAAAGACTCGTTCATCCAAGGAACAGGGAGGCCCTGGAACACATTGCCAATGGAGGTGTTCCCCGAGGTATATAACCTCCAGATATTTAAGAACACCAATTCCTACCTTATTTCCCTTGGTTATCACGATGTTCTCTGTACATTACAAGATATCCATTTTCGTGGGAACCAGAACATAAAAAAATAAATAAATAACTAGTCCAGCCATTGAAGGCCTCTTTTCCATTCTAGGCGAAGCCATCCACCTGGCCAGAGACTTCGGCTACGTCTGCGAGACCGAGTTCCCCGCCCGCCAAGTGGCCGAATACCTGCTGCGGCAGCACGGCGAGACGCTGCGCCGCAAAGAAGTCCTGCAGGCCACCAAGCAGGTCACCAAGGAGCTCATGGACCTGCTCAACCAGGACCGCTCGCCGCTCTGCAACACCAGGCCGCAAATCCTGCTCGACCCTTCCATCCAGAGGCACCTGACGCACTTCTCCCTCATCAGCCACGGTTTCGGAAGCCCTGCCATCGTGGCTGCGCTGACCGCCATCCAGAACTTCCTCAGCGAGTCGCTGAAGCACCTGGACAAGGTGTTTCCCGGCCAGCAGGGCCAGCTGCTGGTCAGCTCGTCGCTGGACAAGGGAAAGCTCGAGGACAAGAAGTGACGGCTTAAGAGGCTGCTGTACGTTGTGATTTAGGGGGGAGGTGTTTTACGCGCGAGAACCAAGCTGCTGGCGTTCCAGACGCACCTGATACACTTCTCCTCCATCAGCTGTAGCTTTGGCAGTCTGTTTATCCAGGACTAGACAAAAGAACGCTGGAGGACAAGAAGTGATGGCTCCTGAAGCTAATGTACGTTGTGATCCAGAGGCACCCGAAGCACTTCTCCATCAGCTGTGGCTTTGGCAGTCTGTTTATCCAGAACTGGACAGAAAGAAGCTGAAGGACAAGAAGTGGCAGCTCTCAAAACTGTCGTATTTGTGATCCAGAGGCACCTGAAGCGCTCCTCTATCAGCTGTAGCTTTGGCAGTCTGTTTATCCACGACTGGACAGAAAGAAGCTGAAGGACAAGAAGTGGCAGCTCTCAAAACTGTCGTATTTGTGATCCAGAGGCACCTGAAGCGCTTCTCTATCAGCTGTGGCTTTGGCAATCTGTTTATCCAGGACTGGGCAACAGGAAGCTGGAGGACAGAAAGGGATGGCTTCAGCACTTCTCCTCCATCAGCTGTGGCCTTGACAGTCTGCTTATACAGGACTGAGCAAGAGGAAGCTGGAGGACAAGAAGGGATTGCTCCAGAAGCTGTTGTACGTTGTGATCCAGAGGCACCTGGAGCACTTCTCCTTCAGATGTGACTTTGGTAGTCTGTTTATCCAGGACTGGACTGTTCCCTTATCAGCTGAGGCTTCGACAGTCTATTTATTCAGGACTGGACAACAGGAAGCTGGAGGAGAAGAAGTGACAGATCCAGAAGTTGGTATACGTTGTGATTCAGGTGGGGAGGGGATTAAAATGCAGGTTAGGTCGGGGAATATGTTGCAACGGAGGAGGATATGTGATGGTGGTTTGAAATGAGAAGACAGCTGCTTCGGGGTTTTCATATTAAGGATGTTGTTTCGTTCAAGAGTGGCCAAGTGATGTTTGATTCGTGATTTCCGTTCCAATAGAGAGGATCTACTGTTTTTTTTTTTGGTCATGCTATGATTTTCAACATGTCAAAACCTGTCAAATCTCATCAACTTTTTTTTAACTTCCGTTTCATCGAAAAATGTACACTGCTGCCCAAAAAAATCGTAACGACTGTTGTCATGATTTCCTCGAAATATCTGCCTATGCCCACAGACTATTATATCTATCTTTATTACACAGCTCGACCGCGACGGTATAGGTAGTTTCCTATACATAAATCATCTTATTATCTCTGTTTGTGATATGGTGTGAAAAAGCAGGTAGAATGAGTAGTGGGAGTTCATTTCATAATTAGGTTCAATAATATCATATTTTAAAATATGGAAGGATGGCAGCTCGTGACATAAAATTTCATAGACATGAAGTTTTGGATTCTGGATATTTATCTTTGGAAATGTCGGTAGTTGAAACATTAATAATCGTTATTAGAACAATTTTGTCAAATTGAATGAAATAAATTAATAAAACGATTCGTAGAGTGCATTTCTGAAAGATTCGATGCACGTCTTCGGCTGATTTTATTTCCAACAAAATCTGCACGGTGTTACATATAACATTGTGACAAAATTCAAGCATACATTTCTCGCGAACATATAACAAAAACTTCCGTATTTTCTCGAGATAAAAATAATGAAGACACTTTTATTGCAGCCGATCTGAATATGTTGAAAAAAAACTTAGAGTAAGGTTGAGAAAATGTTTGAGTATCTCACATTCACATGGAAACATCAAGTGTTGAATGAAATTTCAAAATAAGACCTTGCCATTTCCATCATAATCAATATCAATTGGATTGGTAATCTTGAAACCAATACCATAATTATTCTGCTCAAGTTCTTCCTAATTGAATGCACCCAAAACAGTTGAATCAGGTCATGAAATGCTAATGAAGTTCACCCTTGGGTAAGACGACATTGTGCCTGAACGATGAATAGTACATGGGCTTAAACAAAATATACCAACATAGCTCAAGAGTCGTTACGATTTTTCTGGGAAGCAGTGTACCTACAAGAAATATGAGGAATAAATAATGTTCCATGGAATTTTTTATATTTATATTGTATAATATTTTAATTTTTTAGACAGTTTTCATATGAAAAAAAATATATACCAGATTTGTTTGTAATATGAAAATGTATATTTTGGTATATAAACGATATGAATTTTTGAAAACTCACTTTGTTTCTGTACGTATTTAATCAAATGTCACTTAGTCACTTCATTCTCGTGGTGTAACTCGATTGTTTGAACTGTTAAAAGTATTATTTTTGTTTTTTTTATTGTATCGATGATTTATGTATATAAATATTTATATATATTTTTCGAACAGTGCCAATACCTAGTGTAAATACATTTTGGACAAATATATTATTAAAAATCCGTATTTTGCATTTCATTTTATCCTTCTCGACTAGGGCAGGTAAGTATGAAATTGATCTCCTGGATTAATGATGAAATTACCATTTTTGAATTAACTTATGCATTCAAAGGGGTTATCGACTTAGTTGCAGGGCCTTCAAATTTAGTATACAGGGTCCTTAAGAGATGCCCTATATAGAGTGGATAGTAGAAGCACAGCTCTCTAGTTTTTGGAATGAAATAATCTCCTACAAAACTGAGTTCAATCTTGTATTCTGTAAACAAAAAAATATTCTCTGCCATTATTTCAGCGACTTTTCAGAACGATTTTTTCAATGTACAAATGCGATTATCTAGGAAACTAACAGGCTTGAAGATAGACTGACTTCAGATTTCTGATCAGCACATCGATAACTTTCTGTAAACAAATTTTCAGCTCATTCTGAGCAGGTATGCTAAAAATCTGAAAAAGTTCAAAGGGGACCTTTCAGACCCAAAAATCTCTGTAATAAATGCAAAATCGTGTTGATGGAAGTGTTCTGCAGACGTATTCGAGTGTGTTGAGACGATATCTGAGATTTTTGAACAATATTTTCGTTTTTCTACATGCTTATTTATGGAAAACTAATGAAGTTATGGAGAAATCGAAGTTATATTCGTGTTTAGCACGTCGAGGACACCCTGTATACAAGTTTTCAGCTCATTCTGAGGCCTGCCAAAAATCTGAAAATGTTCAAAGGGGTTAACCTTGTTTCATTTTCAGACCCAAAAATCAACTTTGTCGTAGGGCCTTCAAATTCGGTATTTAGGACCCTTTAGGGGTGCCTATGTGCGGGGTAGAAGCACGGCCCTCTAGCCCTTAATTTAGAAAAAAATCGATTTTTGACACCTTTCCGACCAGAATTTTTATGCACTCCAAACCTCTGAAATGAATGCAAAATCGAGTTCATGGAAGTGTTTTGCAGACGAATTCGAGTGTGTTGAGACGATTTCTGAGATTTTTGAACGATATTTTTGCTTTCCTAAAAATGCTTATTTATGGAAAACTTATAAAGTTATGGAAAAATTGAAGTTATATTCGTGTTGAGCACGTCGAGAACATCCTGTATACAAATTTTCAGCTCATTCTGAGGCATGCCAAAAATTTGAAAAAGTACAAAGGGGTTAACCTTGTTTCATTTTCAGACCCAAAAATCAACTTTGTCGTAGGGCCTTCAAATTCGGTATTTAGGACCCTTTAGGGGTGCCTTAGTGCGGAGTAAAAGCACGGCCCTCTAGCCCTTAATTTAGAAAAAAATCGATTTTTGACACCTTTCCGACCAGAATTTTTATGCACTCCAAACCTCTGAAATGAATGCAAAATCGAGTTCATGGAAGTGTTTTGCAGACGAATTCGAGTGTGTTGAGACGATTTCTGAGATTTTTGAACGATATTTTCGTTTTTCTACATGCTTATTTATGGAAAACTAATGAAGTTATGGAGAAATCGAAGTTATATTCGTGTTTAGCACGTCGAGGACACCCTGTATACAAGTTTTCAGCTCATTCTGAGGCCTGCCAAAAATCTGAAAATGTTCAAAGGGGTTAACCTTGTTTCATTTTCAGACCCAAAAATCAACTTTGTCGTAGGGCCTTCAAATTCGGTATTTAGGACCCTTTAGGGGTGCCTATGTGCGGGGTAGAAGCACGGCCCTCTAGCCCTTAATTTAGAAAAAAATCGATTTTTGACACCTTTCCGACCAGAATTTTTATGCACTCCAAACCTCTGAAATGAATGCAAAATCGAGTTGATGGAAGTGTTTTGCAGACGTATTCGAGTGTGGTGAGACGATTTTTGAACGATATTTTTGTTTTCCTAAAAATGCTTATTTATGGAAAACTAATGAAGTTACGAGAAAATCGAAGTTAAATTCGTGTTTAGCACGTCGAGAACATCCTGTATACAAGTTTTCAGCTCATTCCTAGGTCTGCCAAAAATTTGAAAATGTTCAAAGGGGTTAACCTTGTTTCATTTTCAGACCCAAAAATCAACTTTGTCGTAGGGCCTTCAAATTCGGTATTTAGGACCCTTTAGGGGTGCCCTAGTGCGGAGTAGAAGCACGGCGCACGGCCCTCTAGCCCTTAATTTAGAAAAAAATCGATTTTTGACACCTTTCCGACCAAATTTTTTATGCACTCCAAATCTCTGAAATGAATGCAAAACCGAGTTCATGGAAGTGTTTTGCAGACGAATTCGAGTGTGTTGAGACGATTTCTGAGATTTTTGAACGATATTTTTGTTTATCTAAAAATGCTTATTTATGGAAAACTAATGAAGCTACGAAAAAATCGAAGTTAAATTCGTGTTTATCACGTCGAGAACATCCTGTATACAAGTTTTCAGCTCATTCTGAGGCCTGCCAAAAATCTGAAAATGTTCAAAGGGGTTAACCTTGCTTCATTTTCAGACCCAAAAATCAACTTTGTCGTAGGGCCTTCAAATTCGGTATTTAGGACCCTTTAGGCGTGCCCTAGTGCGGAGTAGAAGCACGGCCCTCTAGCCCTTAATTTAGAAAAAAATCGATTTTCGACACCTTTCCGACCAAATTTTTTATGCACTCCGAATCTCTGGAATGAATG